TACACTACATGTTGAACATGTATGCTATAGTCTAAACTCCTCAAAGGGGAATATATATATATAGGGGGTTCTATAGGGGAAGATTATACGGGCTATTAAGGGGGATACTAGGAGTTTATACTATAGCTCATGTAAGCCCGTACACCCTAAACCCTAAACCCACAACAGCACCATGCTTAGGTTCTTCTGCCGCTTTAACATGGCATACCTGAACTACGAGGCAGGTTGGAAGCTAACTCGTGTGCTCCCTAAAAACCCCTGAGGGTCGAAACCATGGGGTTTCAGGTCCCAAGGGCTATGGTCTTAATGGGGCTTCGGTACCTGAAACACCCAGAATTCTGGGCCTCGAGGGCAAAGTACCATTGACATGTAGTCCATCATCCAAGCCATTGCTTGGACCAGTGGGCGTTTTGCCGCAGAGGCGTGTCTGGAATTGTTTTTCGCCTACATGAATCCTGAAGGCGACTTCCTACGGACCCTGCATACCTGTCGTGTTCCTTAGCTAGTCACCCAAGGTAGTCGTTACTTGAACCCTTACTTGGGGGGTTTAGGTATATCCCTACTCCTCCACTCCCTACTAACAACAAGCAAGTTGACGATGTGGTTGACTCAAGCCTCAAAGGATCAAACCGCGGGCGAAAGTAAGGTTTAGGCTTTATCCAAGGGATCCAAGTAGACGAATAGTACCTAAGACCTAAATGTGGCCCATAGAGTCTGTAGATAAAACCTACATTGGGCCAGTTGGATCCCTAAGCCCTAAACCTTAAACCCTACATTACCTAGATTGGGCTATTTGGATCCCCAGTTCTTTAGTCTTGAATAACTGGGCAAATTGGAACGACCTCGCCCCACCTCACGTACCCAAAATAGAGCCCTAAACCCTAAACCCTAAACCCTAGGTTTGCAAAGAAATTGGCCCCAAAAGGTATTCATGTCAGGCTTCCTAATATCATAGTCAGACAGGATGTGGCAGGGTTCAGGATCTAGGACTGGGTAACTACAGGGATCAGAGTCTAGGGCTACGGTGTAGCGTTTAGGGTTTAGGGATTAGGGTGGTTTTGGCTTTTACACAGACATGTACTATCATCAATCTTGAGTCCTGATTCTAGCAGTGGCGAAAGTTACACTAGCTAGGTGGATGTTTCTCATTCTCAAAATTGCCGCACAATGTTTGTTTAGGGTTTAGGGTTTAGGGTTTGTGCTTGTCTCCAGGTATCTGTGAGGCCCCCCCATTTGGAAAATTGAGATCAGCTAAGCCACTGCGGGTTTTAACAGAATTGCCATGGCAGGCTGGCGAGTGGGCTGTTGCCAAGGACATGCTGGAGGCGCTGGTTTTTGAGACTTGCCCCCATGGATCCTGTCTTAAAAAAATGGCTTAAAACGTGCGAATTTAGGGGACTCTAGAGTTCGGGGTTGCTTGATGTGATCCTGCCAGAAGCGCGTAAGCTCAGTATAAGCCATAACGCTGAAACCTATCAGCTCTAATTTTAGCATACCCTAAACCCTAAATGGTAGTTTCCATTTTCTTTTCCATTGTCCCAGCATATCCCCATTGCCCCTAAGGTTAGGAAGCCCCCACATCTATCAGCCATGCACGGGCAGGTGACGCGTTTCCTTCTGGCGACCGAAGATGGCCCCTCTGCAGCCCTTCTGAGGCGAGGAGGGAGCATTGCCCCAAGTCCTACCCTGGGAATCAAAGGGGCCACCAAAACCTGTGCAGTTAGGGTTAGGATTCTATGACTATAATAGGAATATAAACCCAAGAGATCAAAGAGCACTTACCCTCCTAGGGCTCCTTTTAGAGTGCTCTTTGATTCTGTTTACCCTAGGTCAAAATCCTAATTAGGCCCTAAAGCTTAAACCCTGAACTCTACAAGCTTGAAGACGACAAAGATGATGAGTTAAGCTTGGCGCGCAAACTAGTTGATTCGGCAACAATGGCAAGGTAGGAAGCCTCGCTGTGCCAGAGCCCTTGACTTTCAGCTTCATTCCTACCTGGACCCCAACAGTAGGTAAAATAATGGCCCAAAAACCCAGATATAGTCCAAAAGACCATTATTCTACATACTTTTGGGGGTTCAGGTACTACTATATTTATTACTATTAGTATTACTGTTACTACTATTGTCACTCTTTTTCTCAGCTGAGCCTTGTCAGTCAAGTCTTAGGCCACCCAGCCCGAGATATTTAGGGTTCACGATGTAAGGGTGAGGGCTTAGCATTTAATGTTTCTCGTTTCATTGGAGACTTCATCTCGGGACAGGAGAGGAAAGCTAGCAATACTCTTAAAACCAAGAACATTGAATGTCAAAGTGGCTACAATCGTGACTTAATCTTAGACTCTCTTCTGCTGGTCCAGCCTGTTATGATAAGCAACTATTGAACAACCCTGACCCCCAAAACCTGAACCCCTTGCCCTATGTGTTCATGGTCGCCATGTAGCAAGGCGCAAAACTCAACTCTAAACCCTGAACCCTAAATCCTCACAAGACCCCGCCCCATAGCCTAAAGCCCCAGACACTAGACAACCTTCCCCAAAACCCTAAGCAACCCTGAGCCCTGACACCCTAAACCCTAAACCGGCTTAGGGTTTAGGGTTTAGGGTTTAGGCCCTAACCCTAAACCCCTAAACCCTGAATCCCAAACCCTAAGCCCTACGCCAGGTACATGAAGCAATATGACTGGGAGGCGCCCGAGAATTGGACGGGGCCTGCGCCTCAAAGCTTGCCTAGGGAAGCTGTTACTTTGAGACGTAAGCTTTTAGGGATGAAGGTCTATGGCTTTGGTGGTTGATCTTAGAGTTAAGGTTGAGGGTTTAGGGTTTAAGGTTTAGGGTTTAGGGTTCAAGGTTTAGGGTTTAGGGTTGAAGGTTTAGGGTTTAATGTTCAAGGTTTAGGGTTTAGGGTTAGTTTCGGGTTGCAAAGAGCGCAAGGTTGTACAGAACGAGAGCGCAAGGGTATGTTGTAGCGACGGGTTCCAGTTCAAGCTTGAATGTTGTATTGCTCGAAACACGTTAGCACGCCATGGTCTCCATGTGATAGGTGCCATTCTCGTGGAAGGCAAAAAGGAGCCGTAATTTTTGAACATGCGGTAGACAAACCAACCGTTTAACTTCCTAGATTACCTGATTGAAAGTCCACTGCGTAGCCCCTAAACCCCAATCCACGTGTATATACGGTTGTATGTCATATGTAAACTTATATCTATGTATACTTGATATTCACATATGTGTGTATATATATATATATGGTAACCCCCCCCCCCGGACCAACCTTTTGCCTTTTCCCTTCATGATTCCCTACTTGTGTCATGTACGTGATGTGTCAAAAGCACTGTAAATTCCGGTGAATTTGGGCCTTTCGCTCAAGATGAGCCACAGATGTTAGTCTTCAGAAACGCAGAAAAACGGTGACCCAAAAATGGACCTTCGTCCTGGAGCCCCACTTTGACAAGTATCAGCAGCAGTGTCAAGGACATTTTTCGAAATCCATTCTATACAATACTCAGGCTGCATATTTTGTGCTTCCACTTGCTCGTCTCTTTAAGACAAATAGCTCTGGTGATGCCAGCACTTAGGCAATCACTGGCACTAATTACTGCATCTGTCTCCACTGACTCTGGGGTGGGGATATTACATAAGATACTCTATTCTCTATATGAATCCCTTCTAAATAAACTTCCATTCATTAGAGGATTCATTACAGGACATGATTCAACTGAGGAATTCTCAGACCTTGGGCTCCTTCTGATTTTCCCTTAACAAATATTTTATGTCTTGGAGTAGTCTATAAGGCATTTACAGGGTATTCCATGGGGTCTTCTGTCAAGTATATATAGGTGGTTTTTCTAGAAAGTATTCTATAAAGTACTCTATAGGCTGCAAGGTATTCAAGGAGGTATACTCATCATCTCACCTCATCCACCCTTTTCGCCCCAGTCTCTCCCACCGTCTCTCTATCCACCTTCAAGGCCTCGCCCCTTCCTAT